CCATAAGTAATGAGAAAAATCATCCAATAATATCATATAAAATTTAAAACCAGTGACACTAGGAACAGGAGATTGCCATAAGTCTGTATGTAGTAACTGAAAAGGAAAATAAGAAACACGACTAGAGTTATAAAATGGGAGGCGAACATGCTTTCCCAGTTGACATGCATGACATAAAGTATGAGAATAATTTGTAAAATGAGGAAGAAGGTGCGAGACGCCACGGAGAACTGCAGGGCTTGGATGACCTAGACGCCGGTGCCAAGTTTGAGGATCAACGGCAGCGACGTGAGCATGGGCAGGAGCTGTGCGGTCGATAGGGTATAAGGGGCCTGCATTATTGGACCGATGCATCACGGTTCCCGTCCGACGATCCTTCACAGAAAAACCATGAGCATCAAATTCAACAGAGCAGTTATTTTCACGAGTAAACTGACGGACAGAGATAAGATTGTGGGTGATATGGGGGGAGACTAGAACATTATTGAGGTGAAGGGGGGATTAGTGGGAAGGGTATGGCTACCAACAGCCGTAGTGCGTACTTTGGATCCATTACCAACAGTGATATATAGTGGTGAATGTAAAGTTTGAGAAGAGACATGAGAAATAGTACCTGGGTCAGATGAGATGTGATGAGAAGCACCGGTATCCATAAACCAAGTGGGCTCACGGAGGGACATTGTGTCAAAATAGTTGGCTAGGGCCGTGGGGTTGGGGGTTGGAGTGTCGGGGTATGTTTGGTGTGNGTTGGGTGGGGGGAAGGGTACGGGTGTGGGGTGGGGAGAGGTGGGGTTGTAGTGTTGTAGGCATAGGCTTGATATGGGTGAGGGGAGGGGGTAGGCCGAGGACCTAGCAGCCCCGGGTTGGGATTCGGGTTGGGTGAGTTCCAAGTATGATAGCCGTCGGTGGGTGGTCGTTGCCGCGATCCGTTGAAGCCGCCACGACCGCGACCTCGGCCCCGGTTTCCACCGCCACGTCCGTGGCCTCGTCCATAGCTAGTGCGCTGTCCCGAGGAGCCTTCGCCATACCCGCTGCCCTGCGGCGTTTGAGGTCCGCCGTAGCCCCCAGAATGAGGAAGTCCACCCGATCGGGCAACAAGGGCGGTGGAGCTGTGAGTGTCCAGGGGCGTGCGTTGCCGCTCCAACAGGAGAAGGGCCGATCGGGCTTGAAGAAACGTAGGCAGCGGATCTTGAAACTGAAGAAAAGAGGTTTGAGCCTGAAGATCCTCCGGCAAGCCGCGTAGCATCTGGAGAACTAATTGATGTTGAGAGACCGGCGCATCCACATCGTCGAGCCAATCGGCGATGTTGTAGAGATTTTGACAATAAGTAGCCATGGGGGTGTTGCCTTTGACCGTAGTGCGAAACTGATGCTCAAGTTGCATGGCACGAGCATGTTTGTTGTCATGAAAGAGATCGTGAATAACCTTCCAGAGAGAAGCTTCTGAGGTGGTGGAGGAGATGACGAGATCTGAAACTTCGTCGGTGATGGTAGAGAGGATCCAACCCTGGAGAAGAGCGTCTAGTTGGAACCATTCATCGTCGTCGTCAGAGGTGGGAACGACGGAGCCGTCGAGGTACCTGTGGAGGTTGAAACGGCGAACCAGGAGGAGAAATAATCGACTCCACTTTTTGTAATTGGGTTGTGAGAAACTGAGTTGAATAGGAACATGAAGTTTTACGTTGGAGATGGTGGTGAAGGCAAGGTGGGGAGATTTGGAGGTGATGTCTTGAGATGTGATTTCACTCTCTGCTTTGTCTGCCATGGTGGAAGAAGGGAGGAGGTTCGCCGGCAGTGAAGCACAGCGTGAGAGAGAGAGATCGGCGTGAGAGAGAGCCGAAGAGGAAGATGCGGCGCTGGGAGTATTTAGGTTTAGGGTTTAATTGGCTCCGATACCATGTAGAAAGTGTATTTTCAATAATTGATTTGAGGTGATTACATGTATATATATACTAGTAGTCTCAATCCTAATTAAGGTAGGAGAGACAAAGTAGGAAGGTGATACAATTATAACAACAATATAATACAATAATATTAAATATATAAACAATATATTTAACAATTTATTTACCAAATTGCCACCACAATTTTTTCAATTTTTTTAGAGTTTTGATTTTTAATAGCCTTTAGATCTTAAATCTAATGGATCGTATCCATTCTCATTTCTTTCACTATCACTATTCTCATTTGAACCAAAATCTTTTAAAATATGTGTGTGTGTGTGTCTATACACACACACACACACAAACAACAACAACAACAACAATAACATTAATGGACCTGTTTGGGAATAGCGTTAGCGTTTTGAAAAGGCTATCTACGGGCAGTGTTTAGCGTTGCCGTTTTCAAAGTAATCTGCACCGTCAAAATTTTATCCAAAACGCTAACGCTAATCTCTAAAGCTAATTCCCAAACAGCCCCAATAGCTTCATTAGCTTTTGCTTTGAAAGGTGACTTGAGAAGAATGAGTGTTGATGGGGGTGCTTTTTGGGTGCAGGCATGCTTCAATGATGCTCTATATTATATGTATACATTAATCAGTTAAGCTACCAACCAAGAAAGCAGCAGCTCCATGAGAAGAGATTCAGTCTCTGTGTACAGAACAACCCCCCGGGCCTAAATATTTATGCACCAAACTCTATAGCATTTTCAATTTTTAAAAATAAAAAGAGAAATTTACTTAAATAAGACTAAAACATAATGATTTTTCTAATATAGGACCATATGTTTTTATTTCCCAATATAGGACCTTTGGTTATTATCAAGTAGTCATTATTCAATTAAATGTCCATCATTACTGGACATTATTCCTTCCACTAGGTCATTATTAAGTCCTATTTAGAGAATAAAAAAGTTCAAGTCCTACATTTGAAAAGTCATTATGTTTTAGTCTTATTTAGTGCAAATTTCACAAATAAAAAACTAAATTTCGATGTGAGTGCGGCGGTCCCAAGCCCGCATGTACTCGAGAGTGCCGTGCTTGGGTTTCCAATTTTTCCCCGTAATATAGAATTTTGGCCCGGCCTGAAATCCGGTTCGGCCCGCATGAGTACTTACCTCGGTTCATGGGGTGACATGCACCGAGTACTATTTTCTTGTTATGGTTTTCCTCTCGTTTTCCTCGTGTGGGTTTTTACTAAACAAGTTTAGAATTAAGCATCCCCTTGTTTATTAAGTCTGGAGTCCAACTCGCCTGATGGGATATATATCGGGTCTGGCCCTCGAACTTTAAAACTTATGGGCTTAAGCTAGGCCCACTAATAAGCGCGATAGTAGTAAAAGAATGAATGAATCTACTTAAAAGATGAATAAAAATTTATTTTGATACTTCCCCCGATCCCATAATGAATGCCACACTACGAACAACGTGTGAAATCTTACGACTCTTTAAATTATTTTAATTACAAACTTGTATAGAAATAAAAAAAATATAAATTACATCATTTAAAAGTATATAAAAAGTTAAGAAATCACTTTAAATAAGAATAAAACATGAAAATATTAAAATAAGAGTAAAGGCATAGAATATTTATAGACAAGATTGACACTGTAACACACGTTAACTTTTATTTCAAGAGTAAAGGCATAGAATATTTATTTTGGTATATTTTTAATGCTTTTACTTCTACTTTAGTTTTTTTCACTAAAAAGTTCAACTCCTATCTCAAATTAAATTATATATTTACTATTTACAAAATCAAATTTAATTCTCTCTATATAGAGCATCATTGAAGCATGTAGTTTTTTGTAAAGCTTTTGATGTAGTTTTTTAGTATGTAAATTTATTTTTTAATTTTGATTCAATTCTCAAATAATTTATATTAAAAATAACTTTTGTTAACTATTCTTCTAGGGCGGAGAGGGTATATAAACTTCATCCCTTGATAACAGTGGTACTTATTTTGGGACGGAGTATAAATTTCACCCCTTAACAATTTTTATACTCCTTATGTCTGGAAATTTTTTTCACAATTGACTTTTTATGGTCAAAGTTGTAAACTTTGACACCCATATGTAGAAAAATACATTGTATTAAGATATAAATTTAATATTAATATATTCATAATGTAACGTAATTTTTTTATAAAATGTACATATGTTTAAATATAGATATTAATTATCAAAGTGTAATATTGAAAATAGTGAAAAATAAAATGGAAAGAATATATTCGGACGGATGGAGTAATATTCATTCGTACTATTGATGAGCATAAAGACTATGACCGAAAAGATTGATCGGGATAGATTGAGATTGAAATAGAAAAGATGGGACTAATGTGTTCTTTGAGATCGCTCCGATCTTGGACTGGTAGTCTCATTTGGTCCTTGATTCTATATAAAAGACTTCCCAGTCCCGCACCGGATAGTCTTTTCTAAAAGACTAGATTGCGATCGGACTAGAATTAGAAATGTAATGTACTTGAAATATACGGAGTAACTTTTGTGCCTGTATATTTGTACTTTAAAGTTTAAATTTTATAAAAATATAAGTATCCTATCAATATAGAGCATAGTACCTTATATAATTTTGTTTAAATTTTGCAAATAAGTGATAAAAAATCTCATACCTATAAAATATATATATTAAATTTATTTCTTTTTTAATTATATCCAACTTCCATCTCACATAATAGTATTCATGTTACATAATTATTATAAATCATTAAAGCGCCTTCAAAAAAAATAAATCATTAAAGCATCAAAAAAAGAAATTAAATAATCAAAAATAAGATTTTTTTTATTTTTTACAACTACTTTTTTGAATAACAAAAATTTAAAAATTTTACATATTAAAGAATGTACCGGACTTGGACTAACGAGTAACGAGACTATCCGATCGCGAGAGGTTCCTATTTTTTTTATGAAAATTAGATTAGTCTGAACTAATTTTTAAAAAAGACCAAATCAATCTTGAGAAATTGCCATAAATAGGACTAAAACATAAAAAAAGTACCAAAATAGGACTTCTATGTTTTTATTCCCAAAATAGAAAAATTCACACTGCGATAATGTGGAAGTAATGTGATGACAATGTATACATGCACATTGCTGTACTTTTTGGTAATGTACATGACCACGTCTGGTAATGTAAATGTATTTTAACTCTAGTTCGATAATAAAAACATGGACGTCCTACTTTAGTACTACCTCCGTCCCCCAGTTTTTATTCATTTTTGACTTTTGGAACTGTTCATCTAAGCACTTTGACTCATCAAATTCTCTCAATGTGTAAACCAAGATATAGTAATGTGTGATCTTGTTTGATTTGTCTTAACATATAGATTATTAATATATAATTTCTATAATTTTTTAATATACAAATTACAAGATAAAATGAATTAAAGAAGTGTATTGGATGGTGTGTAAAAATGAAAGTGAACAAATACTCATAGACGGAGGTAATATATTTTTAATGTTTTATTCTTATTTTAATCTTTTTCCCATCAATCTTATACTCCGTATTAAACAGTATCGATCTTTTCAAGAGACAGGACCAAGTCTGACTAATTTGATATTTTCGTTCATCTCTAATTCGTACCATTCAAAAAAAAGTTGTAAAACAAGAGACACACAAGTCCCCCAAACATTCTACGCGGTTTCAAGTCCAATGGTTTTTAAGTCCAATCATAGTTTAGCCGCAAAGTATGAACAAGTGGATGGATTTGATAATTTGAGTATGATAAATAAAGTCAACTATGGTGGGGGCATATTTGGAACAATTGCACGAAGCTGGTCTTCTTTTTTTTCTTTCTTTTTTTTCTTTCTGTTGACGTTATATGGTAGGCCTACGCTGCACCCCAAGTTGCATTCGTCGACTAGTACTCCTACGAAAACGAAATGTCTCCCCTCAACAAAAAAAATAAAAATAAAAAATTACTCCCTCACCTTTGTAGTGGTATTTACATTGTTACTTTTATTTATTTTGTTTGGTTATTTTAATTATTTATTTTATAATATAAAAGAGCCACATCACATCTTATTTTATAGGATTTTTATTTAATTTTTAAATATATAAATTTAGTTTTAATTTTACACACAATTGAAAATAAAATCAATCAAAACTAATAATGGCCGTGTTTGGAAAACAGCATTTGGGATAGCTTTTGGCATCTTTGACTGACTTTGGCTTTTTTGACCAAGCGAACCGCCAAAACCATTGTTTGGCTAATGGCTTTTTCACTTGGCATTTTGATCCGAAAAGCCAAAATCTGAAATGCCAAGGTGAGTAGCATTTGGACTTGGCGGTTAGGAAAAATATTTTTTTTAAAATCATTTTTGTTGAAAGATATTTTATAATATATGTAAAAAATAAAAATAAAAGTTAAAAAAATTAAATACGAAAAAATAAAATGAAATTAAAAAAAATTATATTTATAATTCATTAAAAAATTTATATTTATAATTTATTATGAATTAAATGAAATTAAAATTTAATATTCCATATAGTAAAGATTTAATTTTTACATGTAAAAAAATGAAAAATAAATATCATGTCTATATATATATATATATATATATATATATAC